GCGATGCAGTCAATCTCGCCGCTTTTTGGCTCGACGCTTTTCCAAAATCGACGGACTGCATCACTTATTTATTTTTAATTTTTTTTTTAAAAAAATAATGTGACGTCATTTGTCGCTTTTTTAATTTTTATTTTTTTTAATTTACAAAAAGAGACGTAGTCCGTTGCTTTTCTTAATTTTTAATTTTTTAAGAATCTTGAAAAGAGACGGACAATGAGACACCGTCCGTCGCTTTTCTGGAAATGAAATTTTGAAAAATCCAGAAAAGCGATGGACTAAAGGACCCTATCCATCGCTTTTCTAGATTTTTCAAAAGATAAAACCCAGGAAAGCGATGGATTAAAGGACCTTGTCCATCGCTTTTTCTGCACTTTTTTTGTCAGCAAAAACTACTGTTTCTGCTGCACACCTGCAAATTAAATTAAATTCAATATCAAATCAATTCAGCCAATTCAAGCAAAAACACATAATTAACATGCTACACAAAATATAAACTAACAAGCTTAATTAAACCTTCAAAAATACATAAATCCCAATTTAAAGATTTATAAAGTCTTTCAAAATTCAAAAATTAGTTCATAAATACTACATTTCAAGATCTACAAAGTTCAAGCTTAACTAATTCATAAACAACAATTAAGTTTAAGATTTCAAATAATTAATTATATTCCTAAGTAAGTTCAAGTTATTATAAATTAAGTTCAAATATATTAAGGTCAATAGGATTTTAAGTACTTCAAAGATCAAATTAAGTTCAAAGTTCTAATTAAGTTCAATTATTAAGTTCCAATTAAGCTCAACAAGATTTTAAGTTCATATTCTTAATGAAGTTCAAGTTATTATAAATTAAGTTCAAAGTTGTAATTAAATTCAAATATATACCAAGGTCAATAAGATTTCAAGTAATTCAAAATTCAAATTAAGTTCAAATTAATTAAATAATTCATAAAGATTACATGATTACATTTTATCAAGATTTCTAAAGTTCAACCTAATAATTAGTTCATAAATTTTACAAATCAAGATTTTTAAAGTTCACAACCTAAAGTTCTAAAATCCTACAATAATTCAAGATTTTTAAAGTTCACAACCTAAAGTTCTAAAATCCTACAATAATTCAAGATTTTTAAAGTTCACAACCTAAAGTTCTAAAATCCTACAATAATTCAAGATTTTTAAAGTTCACAACCTAAAGTTCTAAAATCCTACAATAATTCAATATTTCTAAAGTTCGAAAATCCTACAAAAATTAAAGTTCACTATGTTGAAGGAAGCCTGAAGACTGATGGAACATGTCGAAGGAACAAGTCCATCGAAGCAAGCTGACAAGTTAGAATTAGAGTCAACTAGGACTAGACTACTAAATCTTAAATTATGTACAACTAAACTACTGATTCGTGTAGTCAACTAGGATAAGGTATTTTGAGTTATAGTATAAGACTACTCATGTAAATAATATATTTGTGTTGTAGTAGGATTCCTAGTATAGCTAGAATATGACTCTGCTCCTATATAAGGAGCTTGTAACTCAACATTATTTTCATCAATACAATCCTTGATTTCTCCATACTTTATGTGAGATTTCTACATGGTATCAGAGCTTTAAAACTTTTCCGCTCTTTAACGTATTATATCAAAACCAAAACAACCACAATATCAAATTGCAATGGCCCCTTCTACCAACGCTCTTTCGACCTCCTCACTTCATCATCTTATTTCATCTTGCTCCATTAAACTTAAGCCAACGAACTATCTTATATGCAGGACCCAAATGTCTCAGTTGATTCAAGTGATGAGATTAATCTACCTCATCACAGAGAATGAACCAACTAAAGAACCTGTTCCACTGGATAGACTAATGAGAAAGCTGTAGCAGGTGAGAAGGGTGCAAAAACATTATTGATGACTAGGAGGAGAAGGACGTGTTGCTAAGGAGTTGGATCTCAGGCACCTTGACAGAATAAAACATGTACTTGATCGTAGGATGCTCAATTGCCAAGGAGATGTGGGAATGCTTGGAGGAAACTTATCTTCAAGCAACAAAAGATAAGGAGTTCCAGCTCAAACAACAACTGCAAAGTGTGAAGCTAGGAACCAAAACAATTGATGAATATATTAAGGAATTCAAAGGCATATGTGTTGGCCTTGGATCCATTCACAAGCATGTAGATGAAGATAGCAAAGTGATTAATTTTGCTAGAGGTCTAGGTCTTAAGTACAAGACCTTCAGGAATGTCATGCTAGGTAAGACACCATATCCTACTCTTAATCAATTTGTTAATGCTCTCAAGGATTTTTTATATGAGGGAGGATGAAGAAGACGTGCCACAACAAAACCATAGCATGGCATTATCTGCCCAAAGGGGCAGGGGAAGAGGAAACTACTCTCAAAGAAGAGGAAACAATAACTTCAATTCCAGAGGAAGAGGCTTCAAGCCTCAAGGAACATGTTCTTATACAACAAAAATGGACCAGGTCCTCAGAACAGTCCTTCGAGTGGAAATCATGAGAGGAACAATACTGATGCGTGTCAAATTTATGGCAGGAATAACCATACTGCTCTTAAGTGTTTTTACAGGTGGGATTACTCTTACCAAGCCGCAGATGAGCTACCACAAGTATTACCTTTAGCTGCTACTAATCTACAAAACACTAGTGATGACACCTTGTATGTGGACTCAGGTGCAAGTAGCCATATGACACATAACTCAGGTATCCTAACTGATCTTAAACACTACAATGGACCAGATAAAATCATTGTTGGGAATGGATCAAAGTTAGACATTACACATGTTGGGAACATATCCGAATCAAGTCTAAAGTTAACAAAAGTTCTTGTAGTTCCTAAGATTAATAAAAATCTACTCTCAGTTAGTAAGCTTGCAAAGGATAATTATTGCACTCTTGAATTTGATGAAACTAACTTTGTTGCAAAGGACAAGAAGACAAGGACACTCCTGGCCAAGGGATCTAAAGACTCTATTCTTTGGAAGATAACACTCTCTATGCTTTAACTGCTGCACACGATTAGAACACGTCAGACAACATGTGGCATACTAGATTAGGACACCCTAGTTTGAAGTATTTAAAAGTTTTGGATAGTAACACTTAGCTTGCATCAATATTAGTAGTTGGAATAAAATGCCTACTGTTTATTCTAGTTGTCAGTTGGGAAAAAGATGTAAACTTCCATTTGGTTTGAGAAAGAATCTTTGTTGAAAATTCATTGTGACTTGTGGGGACCTGCTCCTATCGAATCTTCTCAACATATGAAATATTATGTCATTTTTGTAGATGATCACACAAAATATACATGGATTTATTTATCCATTGAAAAAAAAATCTGAATTCTTTGCGGTCTTTGTAAAATTCCAGAAAATGGTGGAAAAATATTTTTCTAAAGAAATTAAGATATTTCAGTGTGATGGAGGTGGTGAGTTTATCAAAATAGACTTCATCAAGCATTTGGAAGATTGTGGCATTGTGAAACATATTTCATGTTCTCACACACCTGAACAAAATGGTGTTTCAAAAAGAAAACATATGCATATTATGGAAATTGGCTTAACTCTACTACTCTATGCTAACCTACCGTTGTTTCTATGGGTCGAGGCTTTTCTCACAGCAGTGTTCCTTATTAATAGACTGTCCTCATCAGTCCTAAAGATGGCGACTCCATTTGCTAAGTTGTATGGAGAACAACCTGATTACAACAGTCTAAAGGTGTTTGGGTGTAGATGTTTTCCATATATCAAAGGTAGCAGCAAGTTCAATCCAAAGACTTATCCTTGTGTGTTCATAGGATACGAAAGCTTACACAAAGTATATAGATGTTATCATCCTTCTAGAAGGAGGGCTTACATATCCAGACATGTTGTGTTTAATGAAAACACATTACCTTATGTGTCTCCAAATCAATCTCACACTAACATTGATGTCTCAACTCACCTTGCTACTTTTGTTGAATCTTTCTCTAAACTGCAGGCATATGATAATTCAGGGGAAGTACAGGCTGATAGTACGCAAGTTACTGGTGACAATGCTACTATAAAAACCCCTATACTCCTTAATGATGAGAGTACCATTGACCTCTCAAGTGCAGGATCAGACGATGATCATGAAAAACAGGTTGACAGTGATGATCCATACGGTAGTACTAAACTCTGGTTGCAGATTTCGAATCTGCTAGTGGCAGTGAGGAACATGTTGAACTTACAGGTCCAATCCAATTACCTACTTTGATCGATGTACCAGTTGACCATCAACCTGACGATACTACACTCAAATCAATTACTTTAGTTGATGTACTAGTTGAGGTACTTCCTACACCACAAGGGCATTATATGATCACTAGACACAAGGCGAATGAACATCACTTATCACTTGTTGCTCGCCGCAACAAAGAAATTTTGAAGGAACCAAATACTAATAAGGAAGCACTTAGGTCACCTCATTGGCTTGCAATAATGCAGGAGGAAATCAATGCCTTACATACTAACAAGACATGGATATTGGTGCCCAAATCTCCTGGTATAAATTTGGTTGGCTCAAAATGGGTGTTCAAGACAAAATTAAAAGCTGATGGAACAATAGATAGATACAAGGCCAAACTTGTGGCAAGGGAATTCTCGCAGCTTGAAGGAGTAGACTTTGAAGAAACATTTAGTCCTGTGGTTAAAGCAACAACTATTAGGATGGTTCTTTCCATTGCTGTAAGCTCAAAGTGGGAAGTTAGACAACTAGATGTCAAAAATGTTTTTCTCCATGGTTTCCTATAAGAGGAGGTGTATATGAGTCAACCTCCTGGATTTATTGATTCCAATTATCCTCAACATGCGTGTCTACTTAAAAAGGCACTGTATGGTCTTAAACAAGCACCAAGAGCCTGGTTTGATAGGTTTAGCATGCATCTCTTACACCTTGGTTTCATTTGTAGTAAGGCTAACCCTTCCTTATTTACTTTGCAAACTTACAAAGGTAAAATATTTCTCTTGTTATATATGGATGATATTATTGTCACAGGAAGTAATCCATCACATGACTCAGAGTTGGTTCTACAACTTGGGAATGAGTTTGCTATGATAGATCTTGGCCTTTTACACTTCTTTCTAGGAATTGAGGTTAAGTATTTTGAAGGAGGAATTCACTTAAGTCAAAGCAAGTATGTTGTTGAGCTGCTTGCCAAGATAGAGATGACTTTGGCAAAGGCTGTAGCCACTCCTTTGGCTCAAGAACATGGTTTGCGTGAAGCTGTGGGAAGTCTTATAGATGCCTCCTTGTGCAGAATGATAGTAGAGAGCCTTCAATATTTGACCCTCACAAGACCTGATATCACTCATGTTGTGAATTTAGCAAGCCAGTTTATGCAAAGTCCAAACATTGAACATCTTCAAGGGGTAAAAAGGAGTCTCAGGTACATCAAAGGTACTCTACACTTTGGACTCAAAATTATTTCGCAATCACCATGTAGGTTGTATGGATACTCAAATGCTGATTAGGGAGGTTGTACCACCACTAGGAGATCAACTACAGGGTATAACATCTATCTAGGTGCAAATTGTATTTCTTGAACTTTCAATAGCACGATCAAGTGTTGAAGCTGAGTATAGAGCACTAGCCTCCACTGTAGCAGAGATGACTTGGATCATGTATCTTTTTCATGACCTTGGAGTGTTTCTTTGACCTGTTCCTACGTTGTATTGTGATAACATGAGTGCCTTGTACATGTCAGTTAATCCGGTTATGCATGCTAGAACCAAACATGTTGAAATGAACTATCATTTTGTTCGTGAGAAAATGGCGAAGGGACAACTTCTTACTCAGTTTGTGAGGTTTAAGGAACAACTAGCTGATATTCATACCAAAGCCTTAACTAAACAGGTTTTTTCTGGGTTTCGCAACAAGCTAGGAGTTATAGTTCCTCCACTCACTAGCTTGAGGGGAAGTGTTGAAGGAAGCCTGAAGACTGATGGAACATGTCGAAGGAACAGGTCCATCGAAGCAGGTTGACGAGTTAGAATTAGAGTCATACTAAGACTAGACTACTAAATCCTTAATTATGTACAACTAAACTATTGATTCGTGTAGTCAACTAAGATAAGGTATTTTGAGTTATAGTATAAGACTACTAATGTAAATAATATATTTGTGTTGTAGTAGGATTCCTAGTATAGCTAGAATAGAACTCTTCTCCTATATAAGGACCTTGTAACTCAACATTATTTTCATCAATACAATCCTTGATTTCTCCATACTTTACGTGAGATTTCTACAAACTAAAGTTCACAACTTAAAGTTCTAAAATCCTACAAAAATTCAAGATTTTCAACGTCCACAACCTAAAGTTCTAAAATCCTACAATAATTTAATATTTCTAAAGTTCACAACCTAAATTTCTAAAATCCTACAATAATTCAAGATTGTTAACGTTTACAATCTTA